ATGAATAACTTTGTACCCCAACAGATTGTTTGATGTTTAACATAATAATTATATTATTGTGGGTTGAAAACCCTATGTACTCACCAGGTTTCCCAACCTGACCCACTCAAGCTTATTTGTATCACAGGTGTCGATATGAAGCTACTTTACACTGAGGGTTTTAAAAGAGATGTAGATCACTAGTGTAAATGAATGTAAGATCTGTTTATGCTTATGTTTCTATATTGACGATGACATCCCAAATGTTTTAAAATGGATAAAAATACATTTCTTCGGAAATGCTTTGATAACGTATTTATCATGTTTTTCTGGGAACAAATTCCGCAACACTTTTATTTAAAATGTTACTCTGATTTTTAAACAAAGCATAAACAAAATCGGTCTTTTCTGGCAGTGAAAATGGGGATGTCACAGTGGTGATAGGTGGTGGTGGTGGGTAGGTGGGTGGTGGTGGTGGTGGTGGTGAATGGTGCTCTTGGTGGGTGATGGGTGATAGAGGTGGGTGGTGGTGGTGGTCGGTGGTGATGATGGTAGGTAGTGGTGGTCTTGGTGAGTAGTGGGTGGGGGTGGTTGTAGCGAGTGGTGGTGATGGTGGTTGTGGTGGGTGGTGATAGGTTGTGGTGGTGGTGTGTGTTGGTGACGAGTGGTGGTGATGGTAATGGGTGGTGATTTTGTTGGGTGATTGATGGGGGTAGTAGTGGTGGGTGGTGGTGATGTGTGGTGGTGGTCGGTGGTGATGGGTGGTGGCCGAGGTTGGCAGTGGCGGGTGGTGATAATGGTGGTGGTTGGGTGTGGTGGTGATGGGTGGTGGTAGTGGTGATGGTGGTAAGTGGTGGTGGTGGTTGTGGCGGGTGGTGGCGATGGGTAATAGAGGTGGGTGGTGGTGGTGGGTGGGTAGTGGTGGTGGTGATGGGTGGTGGTTTTGGTGGGTGGTGGGTGAGGGTGGTGGTGACGGGTGGTAGTGATGGGTGGTGGTGGTCGGTGGTGATGGGTGGAGGTCGTGGTTGGTGGTGGCAGGTGGTGATGATGGTGGTGGGTGGTGGTTTTTGTGGATGGTGGTGATGGGTGGTGGTTTTGTAGATGGTGGTGATGGGTGGTGGAGGTGGGTGGCGGTGACGGGTGGTGGTGGTGGTGGTGGGTGGTGTTCTTTGGGTGGTGGGTGGTGAGTGGTGTAGGTTAATGGGTTTTTTAATTTTTTTCCTTATTTTTTAATTTATATTAGTATTATTTGATGATTTTAATTTAGAAAATTGTGTGGCCCAAATTTGTTCTCAAATGTTCTCGCAATAAGAAATGTTCTCGATTGTAGATATATATATATATATATATATATAGATATATATATATAGATATATATATATATATAGATATATATAGTATCTATGATAGTTAAAAAGAAAGAAAAAAACAAATTTAAATAATTTTAATAGAAGACTGATAGTTATTCGGGTTTTGTTTTAATTTGTTTGGTTCGAAAAAAAAAAGGTCAAAAAAAGCATTATATAATTTAAACGAACCAAAACGTCAAAAAAAACAACATTAAAAACTATATTTAAATAAAACGTCAAAAATATTAAAAGATTTTTAAACCACAAAAACAAAGATAAATAAATAAATAATAATAATAATAATATAATTTCATATAAGTTTGATAATTGATTTTAAAAAATAAAAATAATTATATAAATAATCTATATTATTTCTCTTAAAATATAGATAAAAAAACAATTATATATATATAATATATATATATATATATATATATATATATATATATATATATATATATATAGGGCTAGGTTATTTTGTTTCTTACATCTATTTTGTGCTCGTAAGCACAATTCTGGACCAATGGATGAATAAAATCAATGGTCATGATCTGAAGGTCTACGATATTACAATATGGTAACATGTACCATATAATCACACAAATTTCAGCAGAAGGGTGTTTTGGTCAATTAACCTATATTAAAAAAAGGAGATTTCCGGATTTTAAGGGATAATTAATTTCCTTTTTTTTTAATCTGGATTTTTTAAATTAATTCAAATTTAATTGTATTATAATTTCTAATACTAACCGATTTTATTCTGTCTGAATGACAGAGAGTCAAACATACACTAGTAAATATATTTTCGATTTTATTCTTGTAGAATATGGTTCATTCAATATATTTTTTATAATTAACATGCTTAAAGAATTATACAACATATTATCAAGAATAACATTTTCTAAAGAATACATATTTTATTTTTTAAGAATCACTAATTACATTAATTCGTAAAGAATAAGACTAAACAATTATTACATTCATTCTGAAAAAAAAATGATTAATAATGGTTTAAGAATTACATTTATTCTCAAAGATTAAAACTAAGAATGGTTAAAAAAAATAAAAATAAAAACATCAAAATCTAACAAAAACACTAATACATTCTGAAAGAATATTATTGTTAAGAAACACTTTATATATTCTGGCAGAATACATTCTGCTAGAATACTCTTGTTCTCTATGTTTTCTTCTTTTTCCACATCAATGACAGCCTCTTCAAAATCTATATCCACAAAGAAAACATAATCAACTTTAAAATATTAAAACTTTTAATATATTCTAAAAAAATAAAACTATAAATTCTAATAGAATGTGTTAGACATTAAAGACTTTTAATTTATTCTAACAGAATGTAATACTCGAGTCACTTGATAAGTATTCCCCGAGTCACTTGATCCAAATAATCAACTTAATCTAATTACAATGATCCTAGAGCCTACATTGTAGCTAACATAGAGGACAATACGTTGGAAAAAAGGTCATATTATTACAAGCAATAATGTGGGAAATATGACAGTTCAAAGATCACAAAAAATTTCTGAACAAAGTAAAAGTGCTAAAAATATAGCTGTAACATCCAATGTTTGAAGGACTGTAACTCAGCCAATATTAATCCAATTAAAATGACTTCAGAACCTAACTTGTAGCTAACACAAATGAGAACATGCATAAAATTATGAGAGAGATATGGTAGTTCAAAGATTACAAAAAAATTGGATGAAATATTTGATTCGAGCATTTTAGCAAACAATTGGCGGGCAAAATCGGATGCTCAGATCTTTATACTCCATTTGATGAAACATACAACATATGTAATTAATAAATACATGAATGTGACTAAATTTACAATAAAATAGTATATACCTTCAAATACTAACGATTAATTTGAGATTTCATGCCATAAAATCGAGATTCCATTCTGACAGAATTAGAATTTGATCTTCCATTCCGGCAGAATTGCTGTCAGATACACCCATAATAAACAATTTGTGGTAATTATCCAATCAAGACCACTGCATAGTACATAAAAATTATACTTTTAATTTTTCGAATTTCTTGTTGGAGCAAAAGCCTTCAAATTCGTTGTTAGAGAGAAAACTAAAAACATAAACAAAAAAAGAAAGTTCCAACCAGACTATAGGGTTAGAAATTATCCCCATAATCTGGTTTCTTTTTTCCTTCATCCCCAAAGTCGTGTTTAGGGTTAGAAATCAAGTAGAAGAAAGACTAACAATTACTCACCAAATTAGAGGTTCCTGATGAAGAAGGAAGAAGAGTATAGTAATCGTTAAACACAAAAGCCTTTCTTTAATCGAATATGAAATAAAGAGAGATTGCGTTTCTATTTCTGTTCGTTCCTGGTGAAGAAGGAGAATCAAATCAGGGGGAAGATGGTTTATGTGGGGGATTGAGACAAATGGTTTGCAGAATGAAGGAATAGAAGAAATTGGAGGGATTATTGTTCTAGGGAAAGAAGAAGATGGTGTGGTAGCCGTAGGGAAGAAGGAGGGTGGCGGCAGTGGTGGAGTCCTCTGATTTGCGCTAGTGGTGGAGTAAGAAGATGAATCGCAGGGGATCAGCGAGACAACGGAGATATGGAGGAAGAAAATTGAAGACAACAATTGTAGGGTTTTTTCTACAGGTTTTGACTTTGACATCCCATATTTAAAGGGATTATAAACATACTAATTATCTACCATAGTTAAATATGCAAAGATTACTATAATACCCTTAAATGATTTATTTAATGATTTATTATTTCCTCAATTCTCATTGGTGCATACATGCACACAATAGTTGCTAGAAACATTTGAACCTAGCTCTCTCTCTCTCTCTCTATATATAATATATATATATATATATATATATATATATATATATATATATATAGGCTTAGGTTATTCTATTCTAACTATATATTGTGCGGATATCATATGCTATGAGAATGATAAAGAAAATATGTTGTTTGATAATATAAATACGTTCAGTCTTACATAACTATTGTCATTAACACACATTCTCACTAATTAAATCGTGTATAAGGTTATTATACACTTATTATTATTATTCTCATTTCTTACAGAATGTTTATTGGGTCGTATTTTGTCAGAATGAAAATGAGTGAAAAACGATGTGTGAGAAGAAAAATAAATAATAATTAGCAAGAATGCATGAAAATGACGATATTTTTGTAAGGTTGAACGTATTCACATTGCTAAACAACTTATTCTCTTAGTAATTCTCATAGCATATGATATCCGTACAATAATTAGTTAGAATACTTGAACCTCTCTCTCTCTCTCTCTCTCTCTCTCTCTATATATATATATATATATATATATATATATATATATATGTTAAAAGAAAAAGAAAAAAGAAAGAAAGGGTAATTTGGTCATTTTATATGGACTAAGGACATGCAGTGCAATTCTCACAAACCACAGGGATGTAAACTATCAAATTTTAAACTTGGGGACCAAAACTGAGAATTCAACCAAACCATAGGGACCATTTCTGTAATTTACTCTAAACCAAATAAAGGCAAGACAGGTCCAGAGAGACGATCAGTCCTACATATTAGACCAGGCTTTTCTTAGACTGGTTTGACTAGACACCTGACCTAACCAGATTTTTTGGCATTATCAAGTACAACTCTTGACAGAATTTTCATATTGGTACATTTTGGATCACAAAAACAAATTCATTTAAATACATGTATGTTGCCACTGATCTTAATCACAATAACTCAAAAAAAAATTGTTCAGTGTGAGCTACAAGTTGGCATATAGTTCAGAGATCTGTGGGAATGGGTTAGTCAATACCAGTTGAAAGGATGCCATATAATCTTGACAGGGGACTTTGAATCATGTTGGATCCTAAATGTCTTTTCATGTATAGTACGTTCTTTGTCCCAGAATCCTGAGCAATCTGTTGTTTGCACCTCATCTCCTTTACCTTTTCTAGGAATAAGTGCAGCTCCAATGTAACTCTCAACTGCATCCGGATTCCGATACGTTTCTTCTAAGGAAAACGAAATCATATTGTATGATGAATTTGACCATGTGGTGTGCTTCAATGAATTAAACGAAACATATCCTATGGATGTTGTTGTTCCATTAATATATTCAGGATCCATTGCTTCATTAGACTCCTTTAGAGCCTCAAATCTAGAATCTTCATCATCAACCTTCTCCATGATGATTATAGTAACTTTCGGACATTCAATGTCGGTAACAATGTGTACTAAGAACCCACAAAAGTCATTGTACCAATTATCTGGAAGATTCAGTGTAAATGTTTTCCCCCTAACTACTACCCCCTTTGGAATCATCTGATGTTCAAGACTGAGACTGATAAAGTGATCCTCTATAGCATTTCCCTGTCCCCATGGAAAACACATTCTTATGTTAGGATTTATATAAAGATAGAAATTCAAGAGGTGGGGTAATAGTAATACCTGGAGCATGTAGTGTAGTAATATGTCACCATAAAGTTTGTTGTCCCCCAGAAGTGAGACTTTCCACAACCATTTACAGTTTGAAATATTTCCAAAGCTTTCAAGTGAGCTACAACCATCCGCTATAACAACAGCTATACTTGATGGGAGCCCTGACAATTCCGCAAGATTAAAGCAGGCTGCCAGGTTTAGCCATTTGAGCCGAGGAAGTTGCAAGAGACTAAAATTCAATCTTGAAAAATTATTTGCTGCTAGACTGAGTTCTTGTAAGTTGGGTAACTCCCAAACACAAGAGCCAATGTATTCATCTCCCAATTCACAACCACTGAGATTCAACTTACATAAGCCTTTATAAGAAAAACGTAACTCTATGTTGTTGTGAGGTAAACAAGGCTCTTCTAAACAACATTTAACACCAGGAAGATTGCTCAAACCACACCTCCAACAAGTAACCAAAGAGTTTGTAACAGATTCTTTATAGGATCCAACTTCTTTCCCACCATTATCCAATTGAAGATGTGGTATACTGCTATTGTTCTGTTGTTGGAACGCCGACGGCTTAAAATTTTGGAAACAATCTAAAAATATAAGGGTTTCGAGCTTTTTTAATTGGGTAATGTGTGGAAACAACTTAAGGCACGAAGCATCTATTATACATAAGGCAACAAGACTATCCAAGTGCCCAATCGATGGATGAACCTCTTCTAAACAATAACATTCGGTAAGTGTCAATCTTTCAAGATTCGGAAGTCCATCAAAATCTGGAGTCACAATTAGCTTCTCCAAAGCAATAAGTTCCATGTTTTTCAGATTTGGCAGATACTGTTGCATACCAGTGTTTGATTGTTAGTTAAATATCTAAAAATCATTAATAAAATTATTTTGTGAACCCAAATTTATGATATCAATGTTTTACAACAGAAATGTAGTTTTAGGTTGTAAGTTGTAACCTTACCCAAATCATAATATTGTATTTATTTCCAAGAAAACAAGGAAAATGTGTCTGTATTTAGACACACGGGGGTATTTATATGAAATGAGCTTTATATAAATACCACCAATCTGAACCGTTTATCCAGGCTACCAGGATACGGACTTCGAATTTGGATTTTGGTTATTTGGAAAATTGGATTACCTAAATACCAATTCAACAGTTCAAACCATTTAAGTTATCCAACAATTTTATACCAAACCATTATGCCCCTAACTTGGACATGAAGATTCCTACCCTACATAATGATGTTCGTCTTTAACAAGCCTTATATATATATATATATATATATATATATATATATATATATATATAATGTTCATTTAATGGTACACACATAGATGTGAAGTTTATAATTCAAGCATCACATTTATATCTAACAATTTAATCTTCACCAACAAAAAGAAGATTTTTCATACTTAACAGTTGGTTATCTATGAAAATAAAAACAAAATCAGGTTAAACAAACATAAAAAAAAACATCTACAAACTAAAGGTTAATGATGCTTTTGACGTGTTAGCTAGTTATAGAAAAACTACAATCTAATTATATAATGACACTGATAATCAGTGATATAACTTAACTATATGCTGATATACATAATAGAAACTTAAAACTAACTTATTAATTTCATCCAGTAATCAAGTAGAGAAACAATAAAAATTACCTTATAGCCTTCCCAAAGTTGTTTTTGCTTAAGACCTTGCAATCTTAGACAACACAACTCCCTTGGTGGAAAATTTTCTGGCAATGGGCGTGTAGTCTCAATACTCTCTTCAGTCCTCAAACTAATCAACCGAAGTTTTTTCATGTTTGCAGCCACATGAACAAAATGTTGTAATTCCTCATCCGTAGCATCCCAAAATTTTATTGCTTCAATATTGTCAAGTTTCTGTGATAGAGGAATAAAACAGTGTTAGGGTGGCGTTAGAGTGCTTCTGCATGCATGCATATATACATCACGAAAAGCTAGCTTAATCATTACCATCGTTGCATCCATAGCAAATATTCTAAGAACATCCTCCTTCTTCCAAAGTCTACTATGTTTGGCAGGATTGTTAGGGTGTTCCCCTCTAACAATGTAGTGTGCCATTTCTTGTATCAAATCATGCATATCAAATAGTCCATCTGAAATAGTTATAAGAGCTTTTTGTATCAACACCTTTATACCTATAACAGGATGAAAACCGCAAGCATCAAGTTTCTCCATTGTCTTGTCCTTTAACTCCCTCCTAAAAAAACATGCAATATCTAGGAACAATTCTTTCTCTATTGGTTTAAGTCCATCAAAGCTGATTTTTAACTTTTCTACAATATCAGTATCCGGGATCTCTTTTAGTCTGGCTAATGCACTCCTCCACTCATGAATGTCTTTGTCACATAGAAAAGAACCGAGAACTGTAAGTGCTAATGGAAGCCCACCAGCATAAGAAACCACATCTTCTGAAAGCAACTCATAATCTTCTATACATCTATGACCACGGGGTGCATGCTTGCAAAAGAGCTTAATAGCTTCATCATTGTTTAACAAACTAATATTGTGTATCACATTAACTTTGTGTGCAGTTAATATATGCTCATCTCTAGTTGTGATTATTATTCGACTTCCTTCACCAAACCAATCATGTCCTCCAGCCAATGCTTTTAGTTGATCAAGGTGATCAACATCATCAAGAACAATCAAGACCTTTTTATGGCGTAACTTACATATTATCAAACGTCTTCCTTCCTCGACTCTACGTACCTTCAATTTCTTTTGTTTCAAAACAACAGAGAGAATTTCTTCTTGCAATTTTTCCAAACCATTCTTTCTTGATTCCTCGCGTACATTTTCTACAAAGCAACAACCATCAAAATTGCTAGAGATTTCATCATAAATAGAAGATGCAAGAGTAGTCTTACCACCACCCCCAACCCCCCATATTCCAATCATGCGCACACCACCTGACTCAATTTGTAACTCTGATTTCAAACGTTGCATGCGGTTCCCAATCCCAATCAGATTCTCATTTGCACTTGAAGTTACTAGCTGCAACCTTTGTGAAATTGCATCAAGAATTTCTTTGATAACCTTTGATTCATGCCTGCAATACAAGAATAATTAAGAAATCCGCACACAAAAGAGGTAATTTGTTTCATGCTGCATGAAATAAAAAAGGGGGTTCTAAACACCCTTTATATTTCAGATCTAAAATAGAAGCTGTAAAGTTAATATCAAAGTAGTTTGCAACAATTATCCTAGGAAACATCAAATAGTTTCATATAGCAAAAAGTGAAGCAATATGGATTTGTTGTTGTTGTTGCTTGAACGAAGGCGTTATGTATGAAATTAGAATTAGAACTCAAAGAAGTCCATGATAATTTAATTCAATTTGCTAGACTGATCAATTGATCTAGTCAAGCCTCTCTTTATCAAGGTCATCAACATCATCATGAATAATTAAGACATTTGTATAAAAAGCTTATAAGATAAGAATATAAACGTGTTATGTGTAGACCACACATATATTAAACATAGAAAGTAAAAAGCTGGAGAAGACATACCCGTTGGCAATGTGCTTGGGTTCCCATCCAGAAAGGTTACTTGCATCCACAAGTGCTTTTCTCCAAGACTCAACTTTGGTTTCGTTCTCCAACCAATGTTTAACAAATGCTTCTCCATACTTTCGTTTCTGTTTTCGCACTTCAAAGGGATCCACATCATAAAATATGGGCATAACGATTTGGCCTTTTGTATCTTTGCATTTCATAATACATTCAAGTTCATCTAAGCACCATGAAGAATCTGCATAGTTTTCAGAGAATATGATGACAGCAATTTGAGATTCTTCTATAGCTTTCATAAGGGATGGACCAATCGATTCGCCCCGAGGAAGTGTTTCGTTGTCCTTGTAAGTATAGATCCCTTGTTGTTGAAGAGCTGAATAGAGATGATCCACAAAAGTCTTACGAGTATCTTCTCCTCTAAAGCTAAGAAAAACATGGTACTTCCATGATTGAGAAGAAAAGGCCAGAGCAGAAGGAGAAGATGAAGATGCCATGGATGTGTTGATTTGTTGAGATAGAATTTATGTGGTTTGAGCACCTCAACGAAATGAAATTTATAACGAGAGATGTGATTTCCAATAAAACCTGTTATCATGTAGAAAAAATCTTGTCACAACTCATATAATTGAAGTAACATGTTCCCATGTAGAAAATCTCATAACTAGTCCTTACATGTTCTTTTTCATTTTTTGGTCGTAAAAATTCCTTTGAAGTCTAATACAAGTGACAATTTTTAAAGATAGGCATGAATTGATTTAGGTCAAGTGAGTTAGATTTTTCAGAATCACATTATACAAACTAATGTTTTACTCTGAATTCTACATTGACATTTTTCTTATAAGATGAGGAAATTTCCCAGAAAAAACAAAATTTAGTTTAGCAGACTCCCTTTCTAAACTCTTTACTTTGCAAGCCTACACTTCGCTTTCCACAAGATCTGTTCCTTAATTTCTTCTTTCTACTTGAATATATTTGAGTATGTGGATACCTTTCCTCCACCATTTGACTATTCTCTCTTTTAGTTCTCTAGATCGGTTAACCACGGAGTGAAAATAATGAAAAGGTATCTATAATTTCCTTGTATATTTACTCAAGTTCTAGGGTTTCAACATGTAGCCACCACACTTCTTACATTGTACATTCTCACCCCAAAATTTGTTTCATCAGTTATGCTATTTGCCAAATAACTTATACCCCCAACTTTCAGCATTTACTCTACATACATATTTACCACTATCTGACATACCCTTCCCCACATTAAATACAGATTTCACCAATTATCAACTTGCGCCATATTTAAATAATTAGCATTTCAAATTCCCAAAATATAAGCCTTCAAGATTTCTAATTTGATGTTAACATCTATCTCTAATAGTACATATATAGCCTTCAAGATTTCTTCACTATATTACAAATTTTACAACAATACCATGTACTTAAACGAGCTCTTTCATCACTAACTCGACTCGATTTGAAGCACCATAATTATTAATCAGTATATGACTAGTTCTTTGATCTAATTATAATGTTATGTACTAATAATGAATTTCCCAAGTATTTGGAGCTTAAACGTAGCAATACACGGATTTAAATAGTGACAGGCATACTTCGATTGCTCAACAAATACACAGCAATGAACAACAGATAAATCCCCCTGTTTGATTTTCTTTTTGTATCCACAACACGTGCATACAGCAGTAGACTCTTTTTACTTCATATTCCATTCTTTTATAACATAAACATCATGTTAACTTCAAATATTGTTTAATTTGATATCTAACTGCACTAATTCCCAAACTTATCAACGTTGACAAAATTAGGTCAAAATGTCTTTCTCACATCCCGGATTGACATTTTTCTTTAATTCACTGATAAATTTTACTCAATAACTTAGCATAAAACTTCATTAACTCTTCCATTTCCTTCGTCATAACATAATTCATTAATTTATTAGTTCGAGGAAAGATACCTCAAATTCCCAGCAACGCCATTCTTTAGCCGACACCCTTTCTAAGTTCTTTACTTTGCAAGCTTATACTTTGATTTCCATAGGATGTATTGCTTAATTTCTTCTTTCGACTTGAATCGATTTGAGTAGGTGGGTACCTTTCCTCGACTGTTTTCTCTCAATTATTCTGATCTGTTACAGTTAACGAGGGAGTGAAAATAACAAGAAACGGACTAGAATCCCCTTATATAGTTAATCATATTTTTCATTATTAGCCATCACACTTCTACACATTATCACCTCAAAACCCTTAACATATGGAGAAAAACATAAAACTAGCATAATGAGGAAAAAGTTTTTAACAAAATAAATATCTTTTTGACATGCTGTATAAATGACCACATACTTGGTTATTGTCATCAAAGCCACAAGATTTATAAATGACCACATACTTGGTTATTGTCATCAAAGCCACAAGATTTATAGCTCCGTTTGCAATTTATCATAACTTTTTTGTTACTCTTTTGCCATTAATTATAGGCTTGAACAACATGGTCTACTTTACCATTCAAATTTTCATCATTCTTCAATCACACACACATACTCTCTCTCTCTCTCTCTCTCTCTCTCTATCTCTCTATCTCTCTCTCTCTCTACCAACCCCCAATAATCAAAATCTTATAAGGGAAGTTGAAGCCACGTACAACTTTAAATTTAAGTGGTAATCACCTTAGTACATTCATCTGTTGAGTTCATTATACTAAGGACTTTCTTCATCTTAGCAACCCATTGGTTCATTATCTTGAACTTTTTGGTCAGCCGCATCTTAAGTTTAATGATCTTCTGTGTGTCGGAACTAACATTCAACATGACATCAAAATTCAACACGAGGATGATGTAGGAAGAGCTAAAGTTTTTCAGGCAACAACCGTGATTAACCTTAAGTCTCCTAAACTCGATCCTCTTCATGAAGTTATCAAACTTTAAGTACCTCTACACTTAGAATTTTGCTTCATATCATATAGATTTTTCTTCTTCTTAAACAGTAGTTTTTTCTTACCAGCTCTAAGAGCACTCTTTAGTTGTGTCTTCCAGATGTCTCTTTCTAGGTTGTCATCAAGGAGATCTGTTGTAACACCCAGTTCAGGTAAGCATTTCATCTAGTTTAAATTTGGAAGTTTCACCCGGCTCACGATTAGAGTAATGTTTGTCACGTCGTGAGGGGAATATTGAAACCCACATCACCTTTGGGTTCACGACGTGAGCACATATGGCTCACGACGTGAGGCTAGTCTGAGAGGAAAACCCTAATTTTGGGGGTTTTAATTCGTATTTAAAGGAAGGGATGGTTAGGGTTAGCCCACCCATAGCCAAGAAGAAGAGGAAGGGCATCTAGTCATCATTTATGAATTCAAGCATCATCATCAATTTTCACACCTTATAGACCTCTGTGAGTTCAAAAGTTCGTTGTTTTATGAGTTTATAGGCTTGGATCTACATTTGTATGCTTTATCCTTCATATTCAAGATGATGTAGTGCTTGGGATCAATAAAGTTGCCAACTTTATGGATCTCCAGTGTCCCTTGAGTAGTATAGATGCTATATCTGGAGTATGGTTGAGTTTTAAGACACTTGCATGAGATTTGGAATCATTTCACCCTTTTGTTCCCTAGTTAGTGTTCGGGACATGCATGTCGAAAAAGCCATGATTTTTATTAAGCTTTTCTGTCCAGATCATCCTCATGACGTGGGCGCTTGGGTGTCACGACGTGAGGATGATGTTCCTCGACCATTTTGTCTTATTAGGTCACAACGTGACCACTAAAGGCTCACGGTGTGACAAGTGGATGTCGGACTTTTGAGTGTGGATTTGACTTTAACCTTTGAGCAAGGATTTAACCAAGTTTGAATCAGGGGTATTTTGGGTAATTTGAGTAGTAAATTGAGTTGGGTCACTGTTATTGTATAGGTAATCAGTAGAGTCGGTATCCGGAGAGGTGATTTCTTCAGCTATCATTTCACACTGTGAGGTGAGTTTTCCTCACTGTACCTGTAGGTCGAAGGCACCAATGTCGGCCCACTAGATTTCCATATCCTGGTATATTGGATTATTGATATGATGAGTATGTGTTAGATTGGTAGATTTGTATGATTACCTGTGTTCACTGAGTATGTGTTAGATTGATAGATCTGCATGATTACTTGTTTGCTATTTGTTGATTTTATGGTATATTTCAACATGTGATGATTGTTGGGTTGAGGCGGTCCTGCTTTGTGTTGAAGGCCGAGATACCCAAGGTGGTTCAGATAGGCTGTAGGCCCTACGTGGCGGTCCAATGAGGCCGAAGGGCCGTAGAACAGTCCAGATAGGCTATAGACCCTACGTGACGGTCTAGTCAGGCTGAAGGCTCATGTATGCATGTGGTTATCTGTTTGGTTGTGTGTGGTACTTGGGCAAACTCGCTAAGAATTGGCTTACAATTTCAGTTTATTGTTTCAGGTACTTCAGGATGATCGTGGGAAAGCGAAGACGTGATCGTGCACACATCCTCTCGATATTATGATAATGGATTTTGGGATACTCTTATTTTTATTACTTCTCTTGGAAACACTATTTTGTAAACAATTATGGTCTATGGTTTGGAAAAAATTGAAATTTTTACTTTGATTTTTTTGGGATGTTACAATTTGGTATCAGAGCCATGGTTTGAGAGAATTGGATGAACATTCATATGAATCCAGACTCAAACTGAGGATCTGCAGAAGTTTTTATATTGTTTCCCAAATGACTTTCAAAATTGTTTTCAAAAGTAACTAAGGAAGGATGAGATGTGTATGATCAACTGAAGCAAGAAAGTATACCCTAAGATACCAACACTATTATTTGTTATTGATGAGTATGATAGTACTGCATGCTAGTGATAGCCTCGGGATCTTCAGGAATTGCATGATAGAATTGTCTGATGTATGATGCATGATAGCCTAAGAGGATTTTTGTATGAAATTGATATCATTATTGTGGTTGCTTAGTGTGTGCATTATAGTTGTACATAATTAAGATTCTATAGTGTGAGAATATTTGACTTAGCCTTATTTCATGTTCTTGTTTGATGAAGGGCTTAGGTTAGGGTCAAGTATTCGACTGTCTATATGATCCAACATTATGTATGATTAGCACACACGAGCGACTACGGGAAGGGTGGAAGTTTCATGAGTGAGAATGTGAGTAGCCGGCCAGATGAGAATTTATTTGCCACTCTCGAGATAGTGAGGATAGGATATATGCATATCTTAGTTGTCAATTTATTATCGGGTAGTTTGTGATGATCCAATGAGACAAGTACGGGTACGTGTGGAAGGTACTATGGACACATACTACTGGAAGCACAGGACCAGTATGCGTAACAAGGGAGTCACGAACCCCGAGGAATCTAGCCTCTCTGTGCTAATTATATTGTATGAATCGTAGAATTTTCTGAAGTATTTTTGGGTTCATTTTCAGTATGGTGTACACGAGAGGATCCGGTTCCGGAGCTGATGGCCATGATACGCCAAGATTGACAAATGACGACATCCGTGATTTGATTGCTACTGAGGTAGTTGTTGCTGTTTGGGGTGCCATCCTCGAGGTCTTCGGGTCTGTCAAGACCATTCTACTTGAGCTATTTGATGAGCGGTATACCTATGTGTTTAAGGCTGCTACTGCTGCAACCACCATAGCCGTTGCCGCTGTGGGAGGTAGAGGAGGAGGTTCATTTTAGTATCGGGACTTTAGTAACACGAAGCCTCCCGGAGTTTGACGGGGTCAAGGACCCGATCATGATGATGAGATGGTTATCTGATGTGGAGGGCTGTTTTTTCACGTGTCCATGCCCAGATGAACAGAAGGTCAAGTGCGCCCTAAACCTTCTCCGATTAGGGGCGAAGGATTAGTGGAATTTGGTGACTAGCTCATACACCCCCAAACAGAGGTTTGCTCTTACCTGGGAGTAGTTCTCGGAGATGTTTCATATGAGTTTTGTTCCCCTGGTGGAGAGGGAAAGATTGACCCATGAGTACCTGGATCTGAGCAGACGACTGAGACGGTGACGGAGATCACCAAGATGTTCATGGAGAGGGCTCTTTTCTACCCTGAGTTTTCAGTTATTGAGCAGGCCCAGATGACCGTACTTGAGCATGCTCAAGATGGATATCCGTCAGTTTGTGTCTACCCAACGACACAACACCCTTGTTGAGCTTCAAGTCACCGCAAGGAGGCGAGTGATTGAGATAGAGACCCATGTGAGGGAGCAGCGTGAGACTTCGATTCAGTCCCAGCCTATAGCGAATCAATTCAAGCCCATTGATTCACGATCAAGAGGCCAGAAGGGCTGCACTTGTGGCAAGTGTGGAAAGGTTCATGATGAAGTATGTCGATCTTCTTCTTTAGGATGCCACAAATGTGGAAATGAGGGGCACTATGCGAGGGAATGTCGCTAGCAGGCCCCATGAGTACCAGGATTTGTTACCATTATGATCATGTGGGCCACGTGAAGGCCCATTGTCCCTTGCTTACTGCCAGGCTGGTGTAGTCTCCAGCCCCGGCTACTTTGAGGACACAGATGGATGTCAGGGTAGGACAGAGCCCTCGACGGCTCGTGGTCGAGTTTGACCCGCTCACAACTGAGGAAGTCAGGGCGGTGTCGGACGTTGTTACTGGTATGTTTTTATTTATTATTTTGTCGATTATTTTTATGGTGTGCTTATATTTATGATTCTTTTAGGTACCTTATTAGTGAACTCATTGCCTGCTATAGTGCTTTTTGACTCGGTTGCGAGTCATTCTTTTGTATCCCAGTCTTTCAGCAATTATTTTAATTAATGAAGCTACTATACATACTGGTAGTAACCAGGGTTTTCACAACAGAACATTTTATACATACTAGTGATAGTCAGGGCTTTCGTACTTGTAGATCATGGTAACAAACTCATACATTAAAAAATCCTGGATTTTCTTGGAAACATATAAACATTTTCACTGATTCATTAACAGGTTTTCATCACAAAAACATGCTTATGAACTCACCATCTTAATGTTGATACTCTTTCAAAACAGCTTGTATTCTCAGGAAATCAATAGGCAGGTACCTCGGCAGACTTTTGAGAAGGTGGAGCGTATAGAGTCACGTCTTTTACATTTTGTTATACTTTTGATGTATATAAATATG